CTTTTTCCCTGGCTTGCGAGCGGGTGGTAGAATTGGCTCAGCCCGGCTGGCCAGGTTTCCTAGCAGTGCCGCACCAGCTGAACCTGACATCATCTTCTCAAGTATGTTGCCTCAAAATGCAATATTTGTATACATTCATTGAAAGGACAGAACAGAACAGAGATTGCTAGATGTCTTTCTGCTATACTACTCAACTAGATAGTATTGTTATATGTTTAAATGCAAAGATGATTTCAGTAGGATGTAAGTAGTACTAAATCAAATATATCTAGACTGGGATTAGTTGCATTTATGCAGCTCTAGAATAACATACATAGTATTACCTGCTATTTTTTTTTTTAATCATTCCTCATCTTGACTTCTAATAGTACATCAAATGGAAGTTCATCAACTGATTGTGGACATAGTATCATGTAATTAAAACTTCTGTGTGAATTGGTTGTTAATTGCTCTTTTGTGAGATGTCTTGAATAGGCATGAGTAGATGGACTGAGAAAAGAAAATGAAAGTTTTGTAGCTGGGTATAATTAGAAAATATAATGGAGACCAACACATTTATCTTTCTGGACATCTAACATTAGTGATATGCAAATGATCAAGGCACAGATTTTTTTTTAAAAAAAATAACTATACAGTGGTATATGATTGAAATATGATCAGTTAATGCACTGTGCCTAATCCATTTTCTTTTCTCCCCGCTCCCCCTGCAGAGAGATTGATGAGAAAGGGATTACAAGAGAGTAAGCTAGGCAAACAGCCAATGCCAGTGCATTCATTTTGATGTGCATTCCCCATTGTGTGCCTGCTTGCTCTCTTGTAATCCCTTCTTCTCCACTGAATGTAGATACAAAAATTAATTCCCTTCTTGCTAATTATCCCTTTACCCTGTTCCAGCTGTATGCTAGTATGCTAAGAAATGTCCACCATAACAGGACAAGCAGGTCCCATTAACTTAATTTGTTCTAAATATTAATGAAAATCAGCACACACATGATTGTATCTTCAGAGTATGCTCTAACTAGTTCCAAAAGATTACCAAGCCACCATCCAACTCAGTTTGTTAGCCCAGTTCCCTGAAAAAGATCTGAAGCATAATTGTTTTTACATACAATATACAATATTTATTTTATAGTTATATGTATATATTTATAATGTACTTATATTTTATTTATTATTTAATTTTATATTTTATATTTTATATTTTTATTTTTATTATTTGTTTTTACATTATATAAATAATATATTATTTTATATTTTTATTTTT